CCTCGCTCTGTGTCTGATCTGTTCAGCGAGCGGCAGAGAGGAGCAGTGCTTTCTGTTAAAATAGATATTCTGTCGCTTCTAACTCTATTTTACATGCAAATATAGCCGAAATCACAGCACAGCCATTGTCTTTATCTTATGTGTATTTGATTTCATTAGACGACGTCTCGATTATAAACAGAACTGACAACAGAAACAGTGAAATATATCAATGAAAACAGTTCTGTTGAGAATTTGGCTGCATTAAAATACAGTTTGTGAGCACAGAGAGGCAAGACAATACGACGCACTTACGTCATGAATATGCTAATTGGCGTATGATGTCATTTAGCGACTTTTCAAGCAGGCTTTAGCTACTTTCCATTGAAAGAAGTTGGCAACACTGTATACACAGAGAGAGAGAGAGAGAGAGAGGGCTGACTGCGGAAATGAGGGTGTGCAATTACCTGGGTCTGTCTTTCTTCAGGTCAACTCATATAATCATGAAAAAATCAGTTTGCCATCAGTTGTGAGAAGATGAAAGCGATATCTGTGTCGTTGTATCCTTTCAGTATTTAAGGGGATTTCCCACGACTGTGGTCAGCGCTGTTCAGTACACTGAATCAATGGCATTGCTCTCTATGAAGTGAAATATCAGCTTCACTGTAACCCATGTGATGCGTTGATTGTTGATTGAGCCTTGTAAACTGGCACTCAAAGTAAATTAATGTCAACACCTTGTTTCATTCATGAATGAATCAGCGTTTTTAAGTGTATCCATTGAATGAATGTTTTTTTAATGATGACTCACTCGTAAAGTCAGTCAATTGCCGCCACCTGCTGGTGTAACAATGCCTGACAGCCCAGCGCTGATACTGAAACATCACTATATAGTCAGTGGCATAAAATGGTCATAAAATGACAATAACATAATTTCTCGCAATTATTTCTAGGGCAATATATCGCTAAATAAAATAAAAATAGTTAACAAGACCAGCCTATGGACAGGTGGCTTGATAGGCCATCTATCAGTGGACCTGACACCAGAAGAGCTAAGAAAAATGGACAACACAAAAACACGTCAATATCAATGGGGGGCGGGGGTCCATGAGGTTGGTTTGAGATATTATGGGGGTCCAGTACTCAAAAAAGGTTGAGAACCACTGCTCTACACCATTATGAAGCCAATTCATTCACCTGTAAAATAAAATAAAATATTACCAAAGCTACTTTTAAAATGGGTTTACTTGCACTGGGAATAAACATAATTTGTGTCAACTGCAATGTTTTTTTTTTTGCAGTTTTGGCTGCAAAATTATTAGCTTAATTACCGATCATGAAATCACTGAGACATTTAGAAGCTACGATATGTCATTTCTGAGTCTATGTCATGTACATTTGGATCATTTTGGGCCTATGTAGTTCATGGAAATATTAATAAACATCCATGTTTTTAAGGAAATTTGGTATGAAAATCAAACACATATGTCTTTAAAACATCAAAACATAAAATAATAATATCTACATGCTTTATATATTTTTTGGTATATTTGAAAATATAGGCCCTACATATATATGAGCAATTTCACACAACATCCATCCTAAAAGTTGCTAGGCAATGCAATCTAAAGTACAAAGGCAGTGCTCTGAAATACAGCACTGAAGTTACACAAATTTTAACGTGACAAGATTTTGCCCTCAGCCAAAACTATTTGCTCTGGAAAAAATGACAGATTAATGAGACCAAAGACTACACACTAGATTTAGTGGCAAATTCCAGAAGATCTGGCCGAGTTGAGGCTGCACTCGGCAGGTTTATGAGCTCTGAATGGCTGCTGACGTCCTGGAGCTCGCATCTCCAAAAAACATTGAAGCAAATTTTCAAATAGACTATCTTTATTAACAAACCGCATATTTTAAGTCTAAACAAGTACATTCTCGCCTTAAAAACTCTTAAAACTACATTCCGTGCTACAAAAACTATTATTTTTTAAATTATAGTGGACTGGAGCGTCTTGTTGGAGGTCTGTTATCAGATTTGAGGACCAGAAATATATATATATATATATATATATATAAAAACAAAAAATATGTATCAAAATATAACTCTTTTCAACACTGATCATAGGAATTGTTTCTTGAGCAGCAAATCGGCATATTTGAACGATTTCTGAAGGATCATGTGACACTGAAGACTGGAGTAATGGTGCTGAAAAGACTTAAAATACATTAAAATTCAAAAAACTTATTTTAAATAGTAACAATATTTCACAAGTTTTTACTGTATTTTTTTAAATCAAACAATTGCAGCCTTGGTGAGCATGAGAGACTTTCTTCAAAAGAAAAAAAATATTTCCCCAACTTTTTAATGGCAGTATAAGTCTAGCGGGTTTTTATTCTCAGAATTTTCTCATGGTTGAATGGTTTCAAAACGAGTTACACAAAGTTGAGAACCAACTCCAGGGTAAGGCTAAAAGCAGCCAAATGTATTAAACAACATAAACCCGTCTTTTAGGCAAGAACCAGACATGGGTGTCATGTAGGCAAAAAAAAAAAAAGTTTAATGGGACTGAATTTGTATTTAATGTGATTACAATTTTACAAAAATGTTAGAAATTGATAATTATATAACGTTTCCTTTCCATTGTTATTCAAACAGCGAATAAATTATATATAGAAAGTGACATTATCACTAACATTGATCTATCGCGAGTTTAAGCACTCTCAAAAAAGCTCCTAAGCTCAACTGATATGTGTGTGATTGGTTAAAATGCACAACACTGTAAACGCCTAAAATGAAATACGGTTCAACATGAGCAGATCTTAATTTAATGTCGCAATCGACAATGTCTATTCATATTTACTTTGTTAGCAACAGACGTAATATATTTAATTTGTTTGTGCAGGGGCATTTTTGCCCCAAGTCCCCATGGCCACGCTCTGCCTATGTTAATAATGTAAATTATATTGAGGCAATGTTTCAGATTGATTTAAACCGGTAACCGGTCTTTATGAACTAATTATCAAAAGAACAGACTTATGGGGGTCGTGTGTTTCCGAAATTGGGCTGCATTAGTTACTGAAAAAAAAAAAGTAATTAGAGTAACTTTCTTGTGAACTGGGCTACACTGGTTACGCTATATGTTTTAGAATAAATCAGTTCATAAGACTAATTTGTCCAGGACTCAGACTTTACTGGTCATGCTGAATGTTTTTTAGTCAATTCACAAGCAAATCACTCATGAGTCAGTTCAGTATATGTTTTTGATTCACTACAAAGAACTGGTTGATAAGAGTCATTTGTCTGGGAATCAGAACTCACTGTTTATGCTGTGTTTTTGATTCACTATAAAGAACTGACAAATTCACTAAAAAGAATCAGTTCATAAGAGTCATTTGTCCAGGATCAGAATATACTGGTTGTGCTGTGCTTTTGATTCAATATAAAGAACTCGTAGAAGTTATTTTCTTGTGAATCAGACTGCACTGGTCAAGCTTTTTTTTTGAATAACATTTAATACTGACAAACATTAACATCTTAAGTAAAAAAAAATGTATTTCACAAATGAAGATTCAGCAGCGACAGAACAGAAAAGATTTTAGGAATCGATATAGAGACTGCTTAAATTAAAAATAAATAAAAAAAAATAATTAACACCCTTTTCCTCAGTCAGAATTTAATCACAATTCTTCATCTAGCCTGTGTAATCTATAATCTAAACCTACTCATAATTCTCCATCTTACCTGTGTACTTGACCAAAGTCCGGCCTGTAGAAATTTCCCAGAGTTTAGCAACAGAGTCCTTCCCGCTGGACAAAATATACTTGGAGTTCTTGGAGAAAACAGCCGAGCAGACCTCAGCGCCGTCGTGGGCTTTCTCAAAGGTGGTTACGCACCGGTTCGACACTCCATCCCACAACTTGATGCTGCCGTCTTTGCTACAGGTGACGTAGCTGTTAGCGCTGGGATTGTAACAGACTCCGCAGATGCTGTCTGTGTGCTGGTCCAGAGGGTTGCAGGACACAAAACACTGGAAAGTGTTAACGTCATAAAGACGCAAGGTTGGGTGTTGCGTGCCGACTAGTAAGAAATCCCCAGATGGATGGAAGGAGATGGAGCGCAACATTTCAGCTTCCTGTAGAAAATGAAAGGGAGAAACATTCCATGCAAACATCTCCAATAAATGAAGGACCACACATGACCCTTTAAACTCAAATTTACCTTTTCAAACTAATTTAGAGGCATGATTTAGCTTGATTTTATACCTGTATGTGCTTGAAGGCTCTTTTTGCAGATGGCTTTGAATAATCAAAGAGTTTGAGGGTGTAATCACGAGAGCCAGAGGCTAAGATCTGCTCGGTCGGGTGAAAAGCGAGGCATGTGACCTCATCCACATGATCATACAAGGTTCTGATTACAGGGTGGTTCTCCATGTTCTGCTGGGCTGTTTCGTTCATCATCACCTAAATCGGAAAACAGAATTGCACTGGTTGTCAGGTTGTCCAACTGGAAAAAAACTACATAATATTAAAGTCACCATGAAACAGATTTTTTTCTTCTGAATTGTGAAGTGCATCCAAGTGAAACATTATATAAAAAAAAAAGTAGGGCAGGAACTTGGTTCTGCATCAGACGTTGCAGAGGTGTGGGCATTGAACCAAAGTAGAGGCAAATTTTGTAAAAAGTTAAAATATGACTGGATGAATTGTTCACAGTAAGAACTATAACATGCATTTAGAAAAGAGATAAGGTGACTTGAAAATCAACTCATCCAGGCACTCACCTCAAGAGGCATGGCGCTTTTGGCCAGCATGCGCTCAGTATCCAGGATCTTAATGGAGGCGTCAGCGGAGCCCGTGGCTATGAGCTGCCCATCGCGGCTGTAGGTGGCCACACGGCACGGCCCCTTATGAGACGTCACATAGCAGGTCTCATACTCTGATGCTTCTGGGGACATGGTTTGCACGTCTGCATCAAATTCCAGGTCGATGCCCACACCGGGCGCCACGGTGTCCGAGCGGCCAATGGCGTACTGTACCGCACTGTCATCGTTCTCCATTCCTAGGAAATCAGATTAAAGTACTTTTCTGGCTTCTTCTATAAAAATTTGCCTAAGTTTCTTTTAAAATGGTTCATATTTGTGAGCTAGTAAACAATAAGCATTCAGATTGTATTTCACCCAATTGCTCTTTTTGTCATCGCTTTGAAGAAACAAGTATTGTGTACGTTGCAAAGTGTTTTGGATTGACTTTTTTTCATTTTGGTAAGAGGAATTCATCCCTAAACTGTGTGAAACAGCAAAATGTTGTGTTTTTGCTAATTGTTTGAAAATAGACCCTTTTCACATGAAGTGTATAATTATTTTATTACTATTCCTTGCAAAAATTCTTTAAGGGGGAGACACTGCAAGCAAAAACACAGTTTTTCATGCACCTTTCTTGTCAAGTTTAAGATTTTGGGCTTTTTGCCTAGTGGAAAGAAAACATCCAAAAGACACTGTTTAGTGTTTCTTTTATAGCAATTTATCTATTTGTGTCAATAGATTTCAATTACAATACATATTTTTAAAGGCCGTTTTCTCAAACTGAGTTTTTTCTCCTACACTGAGCCATAAATCTCTACTTCAGTAGCACTTACACACTTTACATTTTTATTCTTGTCTGTATCCTGAAGGTTTTTACTGAGGGATTATTTCATATATAATTTGCTTGATTACATACAAGATTTTATTCCCCCCCAAAATGTTGAAAATATATTGTTTTCTGTCTGTTCTAAGTATTTTCTGAATTATAGAGTGACAAAAATGAGATGCCCAAAATTCCCTCTGTAAAAACATTTGACTCTAATATGTAAAAAAAAATGTAACAAGAATTCTGAAACTGACTTCATCCAGTGTTAAGATTTTTGTACAAGGAATTTATGCACATTAGCGCACATTTCATTAAATAATGCATAATTTGCACATTTAAACCTAACATTTTAGAAAACTTGTAATTATCAATGTAATCAACCAACTGGGTTAGTAAGGCGCTAACTCATTTTTTTACCCTATTCTGCAGTGTCTCGCCTTAAAGGGATAGTTAACCCAAAAATGAAAATTCTGTCATTAATTACTCACCGTCGTGTCATTCCAAACCTGTAAGACCTTTGTTCATCTTTGGAACATGAATTAAGATATTTTTTGATGAATTCCGAGAGCTCTCTGACTCTTCCATAGACAACAAGGATCCTAACACGATCAAGGCTCAGAAACGTATGCTGTTCTGTGTAAGCAGCACCGTACGCGGATACGCTGTTTACACTTTGATCTGAACATAAACAACATTTCTGCGCACATACGTTGCATACGCCGTTTACGTATTTGATACTCCCCAAAATGGCGCTATAGGGTGACACGGAGGAGACGAATTGTTGAATAAAATCGTTATTTTTGTTTTCTTTGCGCACAAAAAGTATTCTCGTAGCTTTATAAAATTACAGTTGAACCACTGAAGTAACATGGATTATTTTACCCATGACATGAGGGTGAGTAATTAATGACAGAATTTTCTTACTTTAAAGGGGTCATATGATGCTTTTTTAAAGATCATTATTTTGTGTATTTGGTGTAACAGAATATGTTGACATGCTTTAATGTTCAAAAAACACATTATTTTTCAAATACTGTTTCCCACCTTCAATACCACGACTGAGGTGCCCTTGAGCAAGGCACCGAACCCCCAACTGCTCCCCCGGGCGCAGCAAAAAATGGCTGCCCACTGCTCCGGGTGTGTGTGTTCACTTTGGATGGGATAAATGCAGAGCACTAATTCCGAGTATGGGCCACCATGCTTGGCCACGTCACATTAATTCAGTTGCTTGTTAAAATCTTTTATGATGTAATACTTATGATTTAGCTTCAGGATTTTAAGAGTAAAGAGTAAATGTTGTATTCTTTATTGCAAAGAAAAAAAGTAGATGAAAGTAGTTATTAGGCACTTGTTTAGTTTATTGTTATTTAGCAATTATACAGTACAAGTAAAAATATTAAACACAAAGTGTCAGAAACTGATCGAGTCATACCTGTCTTGGCCAGCTGCATGAGCTGCTCTGATGGAGACACCACACTCTGGGGCTTCACCTCACTGATCAGGCTGTTGGCGATGGCGGTGTAGCCGTCATACAGCAGCTGGCTGATGATCAGCCTGTAGAGGTGCTGTCTGTCCTTCAGTGTGGGCTTGGGTCGGAACATTTTTGCTGCTTGATGCCTGCAAGTGAATGAAGCAAGGCATAAACGCTCAGACTGCAGGTAGTTTTGTGTTTGGAAACCTAGTGAGCTGCCTATCTAGACAACACGTTCTATGATACTCAAAATGTCGAGGTATGTTTGGCAACTTCGATTCAAAACAGACCCTTTGTTGTTCATTCTAGTGCATTGCTATCGCAAATCTGTGCGTGATATAGATTTCGACGTATCATTTTAAAGGTGGTTTGTGTATGTTTTGAAATAAAGGTAAAAGTAAGCAACAATTACTATATAAACGGCGCTTCATTCATTAAAAGTTGCATATAATTAACGACTTACCAGTTCAAGACTTCAGGAGGTGTGCGCACACGCTTTGCTTTGTACGTCTGACGTCACGACGTACGCATATATGGTGGAGTTGTGGGAATAAACCAGACAAATTAAAAGTCTCCGACTGATTTAAAGTGAAAGTCCCTAACTGGCTGTTTTCGTTGAATTTTCACACAGATTCGTTTTTTAAATTTATGATATTAGAAAAAGAATTAATACATATTTAATTAAAAAAAAATTAAGTTATAACCTGATTAATAAAATAGCTTACATCACGTAATGCTAAGCAATTTTATTAGTCAATTAGGAAAACACTAAATAAAATGTATAGTCTCCTTTTATAGATCACTTGCCTCCAGACGTGAGAAAAATGCTTCTGTGTGTCAATTAGGGTTTTGTGGGTGAACTGTTTTCCTCCTCTTGGAGGTGGGCTCAAAAATTCATAAAAAATGGTCTTGATTCTTTTGTGTTCTAATGTTATTATTATTTTTTGTTCCAAATGACGTTTTTATTATAGGGTTATGTTACTGGAGATATCTAGGGAAATATATATGGGAAATATACTACAGGTTGTGACTGTTTAACTGTTTAACAATATTAATACTTATAGATGGTATTATGCTTTTACCTTTTTTTTGTTTTGTTTTTTATTTGAATGACCCTTTTCCTCTTAAAATTATATATTTATTTATTTTGGATTTGTTTCTTGGTTATGAGTTACTTTTGTAGTCTATTTGATGTAAAATTCATGCCACAATATCTTAAATATTTGCTGTTAACTGATTGTATTTCTGGAAAGCACACTGTACATTTGTCATGTTAATATTGAATAAATATGTCCTAAAAAAGAAAAGGAAAACAAACAAACAATAAATAAAGCAAATAAAATATCCCAAAGAATATATGTATTTCATATTTAAATATATTTGAACTGCTGTTTTTTTTTATTATACTATGTATTCAAGGACACATAATTAGATGCGTTTAGAATGATATAATGGCGAAAGAGGAATAAATGTGTAATTTATAAGTAGTTCTGCTGCCTTAAACACTCAAGATCTAAATGAACTAATATGTTTCTTGACATACTTTTCATATTATATTTATTATTATATATGCTTATTAATAAGAATTATTCAATGTTTGCCCAAATATTAACAGAGTAAAAAGGGACAAATTATATATATTTTAAAACAATTTGGTGTCAAATCAATTAAATTAAAAAAACAACAGCAAATAATCTGTTCAAGATGGAGCTGGCGTATTAGCAAAATCCTGTAAATTTCCCTCCAAAGACAAACAGCACACCATCAGTGTCATTTTTAAATCTGATTTTTCTCTTTAATGTATTTACAAGCTTTACATTTCCTCTGTAGTTCTTCATCACAAGTACACTGAACAATCCTGGCAATTTTCCGACTTGCATTAGTGTTTGCACTTCACCTTTAATGCATACAGGTATTTGATGATGATGTCTGAATTTTTATTCCATTCAGGATGCATATTCATTTTTACTGTGTTTCCCATGTTATTCGGAAAGTCCGTTGAGCAAAAGCCAAAGCAGAAGAACCAGTGGCGGGTGATTCTCAAAACAGCCTTAACCTTCAGCAACATTAGCCAATCCTGGAGCAGCCCCCACCTTGAGCCAAAAATGTTATGCATTTTTCTTTTTCATTTCTGAGGAAATATTTGATTTGTTTTGAAGTGAATCACATGAATCCAGGGAGGCTGCTGACACATTTAAACAAACTTAATATTATTGTTATGATACAGGTTTATTCTGTTATTTCTATCAATGTTCTTTTTGCCTGCAAATGTTACATAGAACTCCATACTTGCAGTCTCTTAAAAAAATAATAAATTAAAGAGTTCAGAACCTATCTCAAGTCTCTTCTTTTAAAAGTAACAAAAGAAAAAAAAGTCAAACTTTAAAACAAAAATATTTTCTATATATATGATACAAGTATTTAGTGTTCCCTCCGCTTCGCAGAGAGGTCCAGCTCAAGTTGGCCAGCGTTTCAAAGTCAAAGTTCCTTTAGTTTGGATGCATTTTTGTGTTCGTGTCAGTAGGGGGCGTCTGGGCGTCGGCCACCTGCTTGTGTCAATTATCCTCAGACTCCTCCTCCGCCTCGCGTAACCAGGTGAAGAAAGCGGTGACCGACTTCAGCGCTACGCCTTTTCCCTGCTGTTCCGCTGGGTCTTTACTCGTTTCCCACTGATAGAAAGCGTCCTCCGAAATAACGTCCTCATCGTAAAGACAGTCGAAAAACATTCGGAGTAGATCTGCGAAAAGAAGTAGATAAAAATGACAATCCTAGAAGTCATTCGTTTAGTTTGGCATCTTTATTTGCATCTGCTACATACTGGGTGGTTGATCCAGGGTGACAATCAATGACTGAAGAGCGTAAAGTGCTTGCAGCTGCCGCTCGGTGTCCGAGTTAAGGTACTTATGTAATATAGGCAGGCGTCTCTGGATGATAGCGGTGTCCACTCTACAGGATGTGCTTTCATCTGGAGAAGAAAAAGATGAAAGTAATTGGTAAAGGGAAGGTGGAGATGAAGCCGTTTGATAAAAGGCCCAAGAGCAAGTAGTTTGCTCACCTTTAACTGCTGCTTTACAAACAGCTGTCATTAAAGCTCTCAAAAATGGAGAGGAACTCATTTGAGATTCGTCCAAATTAGCCTGAAAAGAAAAGCAGCTTTCTTGAAAACGTTTCATACACTTGAATTTTGGCTTTGCAGAACTGCTTGATCCATATAAGAGAGGTCCATGGAATCGGTCTCACCTCGACCCAGTCGAAGATCTGTTCATCACTAGCCATGTCTTCCAGCAGAAGGTGCTCCAGCTGTTTAAAGAGCTCCTCAGGACTGAGGCTGGGTTTAGCTGTGGCCGGGGACACAGGGGAGACGTCTGACACAGTAAACTCTAACTTCTGGAAAAAGAGGAAAAGGACACGACTGGTTGATTTTGTGTTCTAGAGCAGTGGTTCCCCAACCCTGGTCCTGGAGGCACCCCAACACAGCACATTTTGCATGTCTCCTTTCTCTGACACACCAATTTCAGGTCTTGGAGTCTCTACTAATGAGCTGTGTCAGGTGAATCAGGTGTGTTTGATTAAGGAGACATGCAAAACGTGCAGTGTTGGGGTGCCTCCAGGACCAGGGTTGGGAACCACTGTTCTAGAGCACCTTTTTTCGTACAGTTCTAGAAGTTGCTTTAAAGTAGCTATGTTGCTGCATCATAAACTCTCTCTATGCTACCACAGGTTTTTTTTTTCATGTTTTTATTAGAAGTCTCTTATGTTCAACAAGGCTGCATTCATGTGATCAAAGAATATAGTAAAAACTTAAATGCTGCAAAATATTATTACAATTGAAAATATATATTTTTTTATTTTAATATATTTTAAGATGTAATTCATTTCTGTGATGGCAAAGCTGAATTTCAGTGTCACATGATCATTCAGAAATGATTCTAATAAGCTGATTTGCTTCTCAAGGAACATTTCTTATGTTGAAAACAGGTGGGTTTCTTAATATCTTTGTAAAAACAGTGATTCCCCAGCATTTATTTGAAATATAAATCTTGGTAACACTTTACATAAAGCCTTTATGTATAATGCATTATACCGGTTTGCTATAAGTCTGATTGCATCATATAATAATTGCTGTTAATAGTGTTCATCGTCTGTTTTATTACATCTTTAATTGATTTTTCCGTACATTTCTGCCATATGTACATTAACTGACAGTCACCACTGATAAGCTACCACTAAATATTGTAGAAACTTAATTTGCTGTAAAGTTGCTTTGCAACGATTTGTATCGTGAAACGCGCTGTACAAATAAACTTGAATTGAATTGAATTATACAAGTAGTTTTAATGCATTAATTATGCCTTGTAATGCACCTTATAATGCATTGTACAATCTCATGAATAATTGTAACCACTAATACATTATAACACTTATCAATTCATTGTCACACTATGTATTTTGAATTCAGTTATATTATTTACGACAAGATATAATGTATTACAATGCACATTATGAATAATTACAATGCATTATACCCTTAATAACCCATTATAATGCATTATACATGTAGGTTTTAAGTGTTACCAAAATCTTAAAGGTCTTGCGTCCTTGCTAAATAAAGTATTACATTGCTTAAAAGGGTATCTTACTGCTGCCAAACTTTTGAACAGTAGTGTATATACAAATAAATATGTATATTTAACAGCACCAATAAAACAGAGTTTAAAACAACGATGAACAGCAGAATTGTATTGTTTTATTATTATGCTCACTAGTATGATTTATTTTAAAGTACCATTTTAACAAAATACTTCACTAAAATAAGTCATAATTTCTAATGCTTAATATAAAAAAATAGACCTGACATTGGTTTTTGAAAATTTGAAAACAGCTGAACTACTGTCATAAAAAATGTACTTCATTTATAAATGTTGCTATGTCTAATTTGTATCTGGGAAGGGTGTTTAGGCTACATTCTCACCTGTTGTGAGATGAAGGTAGGAAGATGTTCTCCCTCAGGCAGGAAGTCGGCCCAGTTCAGCCCAGACTCTCTCCACAAATCTCCAACTTTCCTATGGCTCTGTTGCACAACCAGACGCATGTAAACACATAAACTCGCAATACACAAAGCTACTTTACTGCATATTGTTACTGTCATAGAGGTGTCTATGCATGAAAAGCATCATGCAGGAGCACTAAATCTTAGATGACAACTAGATAAAGATGATGTCAATGTTCTAAACACCACGTCAACAAAAGTTAAGCTTACCATTTGTTTGCATAGTAGGTGCAGTATTTCAGAAAATAAGATGGCAGCTCTTCCCACAGGGAGTAGCGGTTTACTTAACTCACTGCAGAAACAAAACAAATCTCCATTAGATGCTAAACTGAATCACTATGACAGCTGGAGCCTGCAAGGACCTGGAATGACTGCAACTACTGTGCACTGCCAAACTGTTAAAGCCCCAGAAGTCATAGACCCAATACAATGAGATGTTTCCAAAAATAATTTTTTTTAGTACTGAATTCTGTAGTCCATCTTATTCAGATTACCAGTTTCAAATAACAATCCAATATCCATATCGACTTTGTCAAAAAAATGGACAAAACTGTAACATTTCTGACTGCACGACCTGCTTTGGATGCAGCCCACCCTTTGATAACATATTCTTGTCTACGAAAGTTGAGTGTGTTGTTTTAAACTGATTTTTTACATAAATTATTGAAAAATATGGTACAGTGTTCTTGGAGCGTAATAGTGACAAGGTGACTGAGGATGCTTTTTGATTAGATGTTAAAAAATATTATTAACAAAAAAAATTACGGTTATTTTCATCAGTTACGGCTCGTTAGAACTACCATTCTGCCTGCTTTAAAGATTTCATTTATTTTAATGAATAAGTAAATGGCGCGTGAGAGAGAGAGATAGAGAAATATAATGTAGAGATTCAGTAGCGAAGCTATTTTATTAATATAAGTTGTAGGACAGCGTTGTTTTATAATATGTGACCCTGGACCACAAAACCAGTCATAAGGGTCAATTTTTTAAAATTGAGATTTATACATCATCTGAAAGCTGAATAAATAAGCTTTCCATTGATGTATGGATTGTTAGGATAGGACAATATTTGGCCGAGATACAATTATTTGAAAATCTGGAATCTGAGGGTGCAAAAAAAATCTAAATACTGAGAAAATCGCCTTTAAAGTTGTCCAAATTAAGTTCTTAGCAATGCATATTACTAATCAAAAATTAAGTTTTGATATATTTACGGTAGGAAATTTACTAAATATCTTCATGGAACATGATCTTTACTTAATATCCTAATGATTTTTGGCATAAAAGAAAAATCGATAATTTTGACCCATTCAATGTTTTTTTTTGGCTATTGCTACAAATATACCCAAGCGACTTAAGACTGGTTTTGTGGTCTAGGGTCACATATGAATAATATCTTGACCTTGTACTGGAGCGTTAACAGTACATGCATTTCTTAAATCGTCCTTTGAAAGGAGATTCCACCTCAAAAGAACATCCATCTATTAATCAAGGAAAACATGTAATAGGTTTTTAGGGGTGGAATGTCCTTTTAATCACAAATTACACAAAAGCACCAAACAGAACTCATAAGACCTTTCTTTTTCAGTGTTTGTCATGACCAATGGAATCCTGACCTGAACAGCTCTCTCATACGGATTCCTCCCTCTCTCAGCAAAGGACTGAGCAGCTCAGCCAGGTAAAGCCAAATGAAGGGAACATCTATGGCCATATCATCAGCCTGCTCCAGCATCTCTGAAAACCTACAGAGCCAAGAGACAGGGACAAACCACAGTGCTTTAGTACCATAGTAAGAAAGTACTAATAAATACATTTGATCTTAATGTGTGTGTGCTCACCCTTTGTAGAGCTGGGAATGGGGTATGATGCCCTTCTGAATAAGCTGATAGTACAGCAGTCCCATGTGCTCTCTGGCTTTCTGGCTGCGCTCCAGTGTGCACTCCAGACCCATGCGCACAAACACAAACAGCAGAGAGGGCTGATCCATCTCCATTACACACTGCACTGCCTCCTGCACACATAAACAGACACAGCACACATTCAAATGGTTTACAGTACTGACAAACAATCACACAGCAGATATTCAAAGTTGCTTTACACATACTTAATCAAATGCAATAATGAAAAGCTGTATGATGGCAGGCACACACATAGACAGACACTATTACAATGAAATTGAGACTTTCTAAATACATCAAGGTGAAGAAATGAAAAAGGCCATATTGACATTAAAAAAAAAAATCTCCAAGACTGATAAATTTATGACTGCGCAACCCTTCTATAATATATTCTTGTCTATAAAAGTCGTGTGTGTTGTTTTAAACTGAATTTTTACATATATGATTGAAAAATATGGTAAAATGTTCTTGTAGCGTAATAGTGACAAGGAAGCTGGTGAGATGTACCCACAGGTCCTGTGATGTACCTTGTAGTCATTAATGTGCAGAAACTCATCAATGATGGATTTGGACTTCCGCTCGACCTCCTCTTCGGACAGGATGGGCTTCTCTGAAACACCAGCGACCTGCAGCGTCTCCGATTTCACTGCAATGAAACAGAAGCTCAGTATTTAGAATATATAATGTTTAGTACACAAGTAATGGAAAAGGCAGCTTTAATGTATGTGTGTTCACTAGTGTAAGCATGTGTCCTTCCTCACATGTCTCCGTGGCTCTATTGTTCTCTATTTCACATTTTTCCTCTGAGATGCTGGCTTTGCGAGGTGTGTGGTGTGAGTCAGGTCCCTCCCTCTGTGTCTCCTGAGGGGCCACGTTGTCTGTTAGCTCCTTTGCGCTGCTACCTCGGCTGAAGGGCCCTGGTCGTGACGGCCCCAAACTCACCGACTTTTCACTGCGTTCACGACCGGTGCTGCCTCGACTGGCAGAGACATACAAAATAAGACAAATGAAAAGATGTCAAACTTTTATATATTTAAACTCTACATTTGTATCTCATCTGTTGGGTACCTTCCCAGTGAGCGTCTGGAATCGGAATCAGAGGTTTGGGCCGGAGGTGGGCTGGGCTGAGACGTGGACGACTGTAGCGCTGAATAACGGTTCAGGGTGCTACTGGCAGAGCGTGTTAACTCTGGAAATATGGGAATGGATGTGTACATACACGTAATATGTAAAACAGTCATCTAAACTTTACTGAATGAGCAGTCAATTTAAGATTCATGAATCTTTTCTGGAGATTCCTCACCAGAGTCACTAGCTTTGGCTCCACCGCTGCTGCCTTTTATCCAGTTGATCTGTGCCCGTGGACCCAGCTGGATCTTTTCATCGATTTGAGGCTGTAGTGGGGGATTGGTTGGGGTTCAGAGGACATAGAGGGTACGAGAGTATTACTACCTCATCACTACATCACAGATGCTAAAATGACTCATCATTGATTGTTAAAGCACATGGCAATGTCAACCTATTCTGTGCTGCACTTAACAATTGTCTTTATAATCAGCAGGTGGTAGTGTTACCTCAATCAACTCTACCCTCTGATTCACATTCAAAAATGGGGTTTATGTGTAAAATATGAAGCGTTTGTGCAGTGACCATTTTTTCACCTTGGAGATCTTGGGGATCTTTGTGGGGTCAATGGTCCTGCTGTTCTTAGTAGTGGGCACAGTGTTCCACGTCTCCTCCCTCTGTGAGCGCTGATCTCTCTGATCTAGAACCAAAGACACAGGGCAGGGTTAGTTCACAAAAGATCACCACTAGCCTATATTAGCCACGGAACACTGAAATCAGAAATGGCAAGGGTTTTATTAAATGTTTAAAGCAGAGGTTCTCAAACAGGGGCTCAGGACTCACTAAGAGGCCTCAGCACAATTCCAAGCATATTTCTTTTTTGAAACTTGATTTTTTAATTATTTCAGCTTTTCAGTCTTAAAGGGTTAGTTCTCCCAAAAATGAAAATTAGCCTGTGTTTAACTCACCCTCGAAGCATCCTAGGTATATATGACTTTCTTCTTTCAGACGAATCCAGTCGGAGTTATATAAAAAATTGTCCTGGCTATTCCAAGCTCTATCATTGCAGTTAGCGGGTGTTGCAGTTGAACAGTCCACAAGTCGTCAAATAAAGTGCGCTCATTCATAATAAAACGTGCCTCACACGGCTCCGGGGGGGGGAATAAAGGCCTCCTGTAGCGAATCCATGTGTTTTTGTGAGAAAAATATCCATATTTCAAACGTAATAAACACTTTTCTATCACTTCCGCTGACTGTGCTACGAGGAAGCTGTTCCGGCGGATGACGCAGCACGTAAGCGCAGCATGCGCCTCTGAGATATGCTGGTCTCGCGAGTTTGTTTATAGTAGCAAAGGAAGCAAAGTTTCCTTACTTTAGCAAAGGAAAACCAGTCTCCTCTTGGCTTATATCGAAATCCTCCGACATTCTTCTATAAAAATCCTCGTTTTGTACTTCTAATTAGTGACATTTGTTTTGTTTTGATCTCTCCGCTGTGCTTCCGCGTTCGTCACTTCTGAGCGGCCGCGCTTTATTTGACGACTTGTGGACTGTTCAAATGCAACACCCGCTGACTGCAATGATAGAGCTTGGAATAGCCAGGACAATTTTTAATATAACTCCGACTGGATTCGTCTGAAAGAAGAAAGTCATATATACACCTAGGATGCCTCGAGGGTGAGTTAAACACAGGCTAATTTTCATTTTTGGGTGAACTAACCCTTTAATTCAGAGCATATTTCTAATTTTAATATGTTACCTCAATAACTGGACATAAAAGGGAATAGTAATAGTGTCATTTAGACTTGCAAGTGTCATGAAAATTACTAAGATATCAAAAAAGTTTAATACATTTAAAAACAATACAGTTCTATACTACATAAACATTTTTCTAGATATGTGAACCTCTAAAACACTTTAATAGTTAGAAATTGCTAATAATAATAAAAATCATGTGATCACAAACTAGCACAAAATTCAGTTCTTGAAACTTTTAAAATATAGTTCACCCAAAAATTTGATTTCTGTCATTATTTACACACAAGTTGTCATATTCCTAACTATTTTAAATCAGAAATTTTCCCCCCTATAAAATAATAAGAAATCTGTCAAGTTACTGTCGCATAAACAAACCCTAAAACGCAATCAAACCTGTTTAACCATTAATGTGTTCTCCTCTACAAACAAGCTGTTTTATGGAGCCAGATCGGCCTCAAAAATAACACATTTGCAAAACAAAATTCATTTGCTGTCTGCAAAGCCTGCTGTCCGAACAACATGTTCCCATTAATGTTTTAAAGGGGTCATATGATGCGATTTCATTTTTTCCTTTCTCTTTGGAGTGTTACAAGCTCTTGGTGCATAAAGAAGATCTGTAAATTTGCAAAGACTAAAGTCTCAAATCCAAAGAGATATTCTGTTCTTTTTAGCAGCATCATATGACCCCTTTAATGTTCATGCCTTATCAAATGCGGTTTTGTCCTCTGGGTGGTGCTGTAGTTGGCCTGCTATAGCTAGAGAAACACACTAAAATGCCGTGAGGAATTGCTGTGGATCTCACCTGGCCTCCTCTTTATGTCCTTAGACAGAAGCTGCTGATGAACCTTCCTCTGTTCTTCCTGTTCCTCCAGCTTGGCCTCTTTATGGATCTGCTCTATGGTTTTAGGACCCTGGTCTGCTCTCCGGGACACCCAGTTATGCTGGACAATATAAATAATCAGAGAGAGATCAGAAATCTATTATTAATGGATCAGTGTCATTCTGGGAAATACATTACAATTACCTCGAAACTAAATAAAACGACAAACTATTCAGATTTCTTTTTAAAGCTGGGTACAATAAAGGCTTCATAATGTTGAAAGAAGTATCCCTCCTCTTTTTGTCTCTTCTCTCTCACACTTTTATCACTCAAATGATAAAACAAAAACTGAGGAATGCAGGGGAGAGACACCACTAAACTATGCCACTTGCAAACAGATGTGAATTTAATGTCATGGCCAAAAGTTATGACCTTGCTGATGACATTGTTTAACCTGTGGCTGTTTCTGGGCCATTGAGTTCAGTGTTTCGGTTTCTGAGCCTTTTTCCACTGCTTCTAAAACAATATACATTTAAAATGATTACTAATTTAAATGTATATTTTTACATTTATTAAAAACAAATTTTAAATTAAAATTATATAAATTATAATCTATAAATTATTATTAATTAAAATGATTGCTTTTATTAAATACTTTATATTAAAACTTTTATTATATTATATATTATTATATTATATTATATAATTTTTTATATACATTTTAAAATGATCTAAAATACTATTATTAGAGATTAATACTTTTTTAGCAATAATACATTAAATTGATAAAAATTGACAGTAAGGAATACATTTTAAATTGTAATAATTCACCATATTAGTACTTTTACTGTCAGGGCCAGATTTACGCATAGGCATTCTAGGCACGTGCCTATGCTTGCTCGTCCGGGGGGGGGGCCCAAACACAATTAAGAGATATATAATATTTTTGTTATACTATGGGATATCTACAACAGTAAAAGAAGTAAACAGTAAAAATGACAAACTATTTCCATGTCATCCACCTTTTTTATGTACATACAACACGCTTTCCTTCTCCCGTTCTCTCCCGCAGACGCACACAGACAGTTGCAGACACGCACTCGCGCACACGCGGAGACGCGGACAGAAACTTGATGTCAGCGCTGCCCCGCGAATTTATCAATAAAATAGTTTCGCAGCTGAAAAGCTACATGACATTTCTCAGTAGCAAGGTTCTTGAAGCAGTTCAACTTAAAGGGTCATGAAAGCCCCCGTTTCAGCACTGGTTAGTTCTCACCACAGTTTAAAAAAAACGCTAAAAAAGTGGGCGTGGTGCACAGCGGAGCGGAGGGGGAAGAGGGGAGACAGAAAACACACACAGCTTCGGGTTCAGACAGTTTCATTTCGCTCCCATCGAATTAAAAACACAAATAAATGCACAGCCATTTGCACTCTGCATCGAAAACATATATATGAACGCGCTGTTGCACCTCTGAGAACTTTTAAGGCTTATTCTGTGGCGTTTATATAAGCCTTTTGACGGGTTGTGTCACAGAGCTGTAAAAACGGTTATGCTCACCACCAAGTGAATGAATTGCTTATTACAAAGCAAAAAACCTCTCCTTCGATCCATGAACGTTTCTCTCAGTTAATGTGCGCAATGTCATCTCACAGTCTGAAACGTCTGTCATAGCAAATCAACACATGCTGTTGTGAATAATTAAGTCTTCTCATTGGATAAGAACACGCAGTCTCATTAATAATTTAATACACACTGACGCGTCATCGATGTACTATATAGTCCATTGCCACGTCACAAATTGTGACGTCAACACTGCACATTTAACAATAATGGCTTTTTCTTCTTTCTTTTTTTATTTTAGAAAAAGGAATGGTCTGCGCTCTTAAAAAGAGCTAAAAAAAAAGAGGTTCTGAAAGAACTAGAAAAGCTGCAGCTTAGCCAACCCAATATTCTCTGTCACAATCTTGAGAGCGATGAAGATAATGGACAGGGTGAGGGTTGGCAAGGTTGTCCAGGCTGTAAAAAATTACAAGGACAAATAATTGAAAAAAACAAACAAATTAAATATTTTAAGAGCAAATTAAAGCAACGGGACACCAGCCGGAAAGACCTGGAACAAATAGAAAGTCCACTCTTGTATGGTATGTGTAAATCATTATGCATTACCTTATCTTGCTTTACTTTCTTTACCTCACCTTAACTTACCTTGCTGTTCTCATACTGTTTTTACAGAAAAAGTTCTTGAGGTGTGGTTTCAATACATTGCCTCTGAAAAGAAAAAACAGAGAGAGAATAGCAGACAAAAGATTTCTCATGTGAGAAATTGTCTCACATTCATTGCAGCACCAAACACACCATCAATGGATCTGAAATGTCTTTGGAACCACCAAAGAATTAAAGAGTATGTATACCTTTAATTTTTGTTGTAAATTTTTGTTGATAGGCCTGTCAGTTACTACAGGGTTCCAATGCTTCTTGAAAGTACATGAATTTCAGACACATGGAATCAAGGACTGTAAAGTACTTGAAAATCACTCGCATTTGCAACTAAATTTCCAAATGAACTCCATTTTTAAGAGTAGGCAGAAGCCACTTGTTGTGTCATGGAACTGTAAAAACGGTTACACTCACTAAGTGAGTGAATCGCGTTTGTGCCGAACTCTTATTACAAAGCAAAACAAACACTCACCTTCATGAACGTTTCTCTCAGATAATGTACACGATATCACAGTCTGAAGCGTCTGTCATAGCAAATCAACACATGCTGTTGTGTGTTGTGAATAATTAAGTCTTCTCATTGGATAAGAACACGCAGTCTCATTAATAATTTAATACACACTGACGCGTCATCGATGTACTATATAGTCCATCGCCACGTCACAAATTGTGGTCAACACGATGTAGATTTTAAACCCGGAAGATGAAAATAGTGCAAAAAAGCTTAAAATTAACCAGTTTTCTCCAACAGTTAAAATTATCGGATGCTAACATTGTCTTCTATGATGTGCAACACAAACACCTCTGCTAAAAACTCAGAAAAAGTAGTCTGGGGTTTCATGACCCTTTAAAGATTCGCTATTAGTAGACGCTGCTGCTGAAAGACGCACAGGTATTTTATTCACACGCACTTAATCTCTATCTCTCCCTCTCTCTCTCTAATAACTGCATTAATAACTGCGTTAGCCTGCATATCAATGGCTCAAGCCTCTGTTATTAGCTCTAAAATGACGTTTTGGAATTTGCAACGGAACGTTTGAGATGGGGTGCGTAAAAAATTTGCTAGTTCAACACACACACAATGTCAAATGCCAAATCATCTGAACAATTGATGTGTGATTATGACTCCAGGCAGTTAAAATTATTAGAGAAATAATGCACTCCCGAAGTGGTTATGTGTCCACAACGCCGCGCCTATTAATGGAATGGTCTTTCTCAGTTCTCAAACAAATTAAGAACTACATTTGATACATTTTTATTGACTGAACGCAAGCGCTTATTGCGATAGAAAACACTGTAATGGTTTCACTGATTAAGAAATATTTTTGTTTGCTTGGGTGGTAATATTAGGCCTATTATATTAATAGGGAGGGGGGGCCCAAAAATTTGTTTTGCCTATGTCACGAAAAGAGGTAAATCCGGCACTGTTTACTGTACTACTGTACCACTAGATTTTTTTTTTTTTGGATAAAAAATATGCACCCTTGGCTCAAAAACATTAAAATATTTGACAAAGACAATTTGCAATAATTATAAAGGAAAAACCCAAGTAAGTCAGAAATTCAAAACACTTTTGTGCCTCATAAAGCACTATAGATTTTTATTATTTATTTATGAAGTATATTATATTATATATATATATTACTTATATTTAATAAAAAAACTAAAAAAATAAGAGAGCAAAAACACCACACAGATGTTTTTGCTTCTCCCTGTTACTCAAAACCAGGCCTTTATAAAGGTCTGTACACTCTCTCAACACACACATACAAACAAACACAATCACAATCCCCCATGGCACTTACCAGTCTCAGATCTATCACATCCTGTAGCATGAACCGTATCCGTGACGATGTCTTGCGCTCTTTGACAATTTTCTCCATCTGGTTGAAGTACTGGTCCATACGGGGCTATTCAAGGACACAGAGCAGCGAGTGATGAAAAACATATCAGTTGAATATCAAATACTGAGTTCATGTGTCCATGTGCCCATGTCGATCACAACAAAATCACTGATTATAAATGAAGACAGACTTCTTTATTGTGGCAGCGATGTGTGATCATGTAGCACAGATCTTCCTGTACCCATCCATTATGGGGTACAGGACATATAGGGAGCCATTGTAAATCTAAAAGTAAAGTTTGGGGTAAAGAACTGCTCCTAAATCAATAAGGTCAATAAATGCAGAACCTATTTCCCGGCCTGACTCCCTGCGAGCTGAAGAACGCCTGAAGTTCCTGCCGCAAGGTCAGCAAGAAAGAAAGGAAGCATACAGAAAACATCTACCCTCTTGCCTAATACTTTGCTCCAGGGTTTATGGGCGTCTGTTGGGCCCAGCTGGAACACATTTAGACTGCGTGTGTACAGTGCTCAAATTATATTTACCCCCATGCCTGAATATTCCTCATTCTTTTGCTTTGCACTGCAGCATATTTAAATGACATTTTCCCAGCTCAGTCCATTGTACAGCTACAATGTCATTTCAATGAAGCACTTCAAATGACAAAGGCATTTCAACATCTTTACGATCAGATTAAAGATGAAAATCCCAAAGCTACCACAGTCATGCCATGATGATAAGGAGCTGCGCTGGAAAACCTTTCCAGTCAAAGCTCTGGGCCTTCTAAGCACTGCAAAGCCCACCGTAAAAACACTGCACACAAACAATACTAAGATCTGGCCGTCTTAGTAAACAGGCTATGTTGAGAAGAATAGCATATTATACTACTTGCACTAGTGCTGCAGTACATACTACTGTACTGTATGTATAATGTTCACAGCATGAACATTTTCTCTATGCTTAAATTACCAAGGTAAGCTACAAAATTTGCCAAAATGTACAGTACACAACAGAGCACACTGAGTGGAATTCCATTTCCCACAATGCAAATGTGTTCAATGCAATATGATCTTCCAATTAATTTACAGTATAATTGCATTAAAAGATTTCTATATTCAATTCTAATGATATTTCATTTACTGCATGTTATTTAGAAGATGCTCACTGCAACGTAATGAGGTCAAGTGATAATGTAACATTATACAATTTTAAATGTTTCACTTACACTACAGTTGAAAGATTTAAGATCAGTAAAATTTTTTTTTTTTTAGATTTTTTTTTATTGAGCAATGATTTATTAAATTGATCAAAAGTCATAGTTAAAACTTTTACATTGTTCAAAATAGTTCAATTTCAAATTAAGACTGTCCTTTAAACTTGCTATTCACCAAAGAATGCTGATAAAATTGATCAGTTTTCACAAAAATACTAAGCAGCACAAGTGTTTTCAACATTGATAATAATAAGAAATGCTTTTTAGTAGCAAATCAGCATATTATAATGATTTCTAAAATATCATGTGACACTGAAGACTGGAGTAATGGCTGATGAAATTCATTTTAAAATATGAAAAAAAAAAAAAGATTTTATTAGTCTAGTTGGAAACAGAACACGCTCCCACACTGTGCACTTCGAAGGTGAAACCAATTACAGGATTTGCCAATATTTGCAAGGTTCTGGCATTGAATTGTTCCAGGATATACAAATAATTTTCTTTGAGGAACTTAGAAGCACATCTGCACATGATTTATGACATACCTTCCCGTAAAAATAATCATTAAAAAACTCTGTTTGAAATTGATGTTTTGCCAAACTTTTACCAATATTTACCAGCCATACTGTACATTTTTCTTGACAATGTTTAGCTGTTTCATAGAAAACGTAATCTTTAGCATCCTAGATAAATTGCGATTTTTTCCACTAAGGTACAAGTCATTACAAGATGTGCAAGTCATGAAAAATGTTTTCTTTAGTAGATGGTTTGTATGTCTTTAATTTAAATTGAGTCACTTACATCAGGGAGGGTTACACTATTACTCTTACAATTTGACTTAAACCATGCATTATGTTGCAATTCCTCACAAATCAACCCTATGTCATGGCAAAAAATAATTTTTAATCTTATTTGGTGCTTGACGAGTGTTAATTTCAGACCCTACCTACTTGTAGTTACCTTCCTGTCTCAGAGGGAAGTTCTTCAGCAGTTTGCTAAGTGGACCATACTTTTTCCATTAGTGAGATGAGGTTTTACAGTGGTTCTAGTTTCCATAATGGTCATATTAGATGATTTAAATAAAAAGCAAAATATTCTATGCCTTTCCAATTTCCCTTTCCAAGGGATTTTCACCACTGATCTTGTGAAATACGAATCAATACGGCTCCAGAATGTATAATAACAAACTGTTGGGCAAGTTACCTTGGCTTTCTCGAAGTCAAGGTCTTTGCCGATGGTAGTGAGGAGTCTGCAGAGGCACTCTAAGCTCTCGTCGTCATGGTTTTTTAGTAGTTTCACCACACAGTCATGCATGATGGGCTCTGTCAGCATCTTGAGCTTGAACAGCTCACCGATGAATTTGATATTTCCTGTGGAGCGACGCCGAGCCTTGTCCTTCGCCTCCTCTAGCTCCTCCTGCAGTCTTTCCTTTTCTGTAGGCTAAAAAAAAAAAAAAGAGTTGCATATAAATCCCATAATGCTTTCAATAATGCCTTTCAAAGGGGTCATGAACTGAGAAATCAAAATTCCCATGATTTTTTTACATTTAAGAGGTCACTATACTATAAAAAACATTCTGTAAGTTTCAGAACCCAAAACTTTCTTGTTAAGGCCCGTTCACACCAAGCACGATAACTATAAAGATAATGATAAAGATGTAGTTCTAAAAATCGTTCTCAATATTAAAGAATAGCAGAGTCCACACCACAGCTATAACAATAAAGGCACAGAGAAACAATATCGTTGGAATCATTTTCAGAACGATTTTTTCCAGCTGACGAACGATACAAACATTGACAGCCAATCAGAATCCATCCTGCTACAACGAGCTCGAGAATTGAAAGCGGCAGACGCATGTGCACTTAGAATAAACCGACGATATCGTTCGCTGGTGTGGACGCTAATATCGTTATCTTTATAGTTATCGTCCATGGTGTGAACGGGGCTTTAGTCTAAAAACAGCTTATATTCAAGCCAGTCTGCCAAAAACACAGGTTGTGAAATGTGGCACTTTATGACAAATAATGAATTATCCACTAACTTAGTTTATAATTGATTTTTGTCACAGATTATGAATATACATATATATTTTTTCATATTTCTATTAATTTTTTATGAAGTTTTCTTTATAATTAAGAAGTCTGTATTCAGTAGATTGTGGAAGAGTGATTATCAGTTCCACACACAGAGATTTAGAAATTCTACATTGATTTAAAAGAAAAAAACTGCACTGACTTCGTATCCCTGAATCCCCGGTATCGGAATCCATATCAGAGGCGAAAAAGGCAGATCTGAGCATACCAAGTGAATATTGTTCATAAATATTGCTTCGATTGTCATCATTTGACTTTGGACTTTGGCTTTGGATAAAAGCGTCTGCTAAATGACTAAATGTAAATGGCCATTACAGACAGAAAGTCAAAAAGACTACTAAGACAAGCAAGTCTAAATTAATTCCTGATAATCATTATTGAATAATTACTGATGTGGCAGAGTCCAGCTCCTTTTGTTTTCTCTCAAGTACGACGTCGTCCACTTTGTCCCTCTCGAATTCCTTCTGACAGCGGTTCAATAGCAGCTTCCGGAAGTTTACCGTAGTATTAGGTTTGTCTGCTGTAGGCACTTTTAGCTACAATTGGATCACAATAGGAAGAAATACCCATGACATACTTAAGAACGAATAATATTAGGCAATTAATGGACAGTCCAAAGAAAACAAACATGGAAATTTCACAATCGCGCAATGCACAATTAACTCCAAAGTGTACGAAACGTACCGTAGCCAGACAGCGACACATGTTGGCGTAGGCCACAGAGAAGCTGGGCTCATCTATGGCCTTCTCAAACACAAGGTCGATGACTCCCTTCAGCCTCTCCTCTGTGTTGATCGTGAGATCCGTCACCTGCTTCATCAGCTGATGGAACATCTGGGGCGTGAGCTTGTTCAAAATGCTACGAACTCTTCGGAACAACTCCTGAAATGCCAGAAAAGCAACAGATTGCCAACACACTGCAGTTCAAAATCAACAAAACAACCTTCAGATAAAATAAACATGCTTTCGCTTAAAGTGACAAATCAGGACTTCAAGGATGTGAGAACGCCAAATAAAACCCTTGTGCCTGACAAGAACAAAAGCCACCATACGTGACAACCATCTAATTCAATCTCAAGTGTGCATCTCTTGACATCTTGAGTGCTTCTTTTACTGTGAATGTTTCAAAACACTTATGCATAATAGTAATATCCACACCTGGGTTCTCAGGGCCTCTGGGTCATCCATCACATTCTCTCTCTTCATCCCAGGTTTCCAGGCATTCTCTGCCTTCTTGAGCTTAACGTCATCATTAACAGAAACGTTTACGATGATCTTGCGTGGTGGAAGTCGCCGCACGTTTATAAGCTTTGGATAAAGTATACAGATAGAAAAGAAGAGTGTTACGATGTAAAATGTAGGTTAAGTCTGGGTGATTCTCACATATGAATCAAAAGAAAAAAATAAGATATTATATTTTATAAAATGATGCACATTTTACCACCAAATTCACATTACAGTAAGTGGATGTTTTACTTTTTGAGTCATTTATAATGGATACATTTATCTACCAAACTGCTAAATGTTCTCCCAAACTGCTTAATCATACTTGAATGGGTTGATAGATTAAGATGTTTTTGTGTGAGAACACCTTAGCTGTTTTTTTGTATTCTTGTCTGTAATGGAGTATATGATTTAGAATAACTCACTGGAGCACCATGTCCTCCTGGCATCTGCCTGCTGAAGTCAGCAAAAGCGGGAGTGAAATCCTGGGGAGTGCCCCTGGAAATCAACCTGGGGTCCACAGACCTCAGCGGCAGCTTGTTTTGGTTCATCTGAAACAGATGAGATCATTTCCAAGAGTTATCCAGCAGGAGGCGCAGTGAGAAATAGAGCTGTGACATGAATGAAACACCAGATCTCCCTCCCCTCCTGCTTATACTGATCTTGGACTAGCTTGTACCTATTTGTATCTTTATCACAATCAGTATGAGAGAAACTGGTTTGAGACCAGCCTTCCCTTGCCCTACAGCACTGAGGGGAAACAGTATTTGCCATGGAGACCAGCTCCATTTGTTATTTATATATCAACAACATGTTCAACGATTTACGCTACAGTCAGCTTGTGACGGAGGGAACAAGAACAGCCAGAAACAGATGTGAGCGAGAACACATGCAGAGTAAAATCTAGGAACTGAAAAGGGAAACTGAAAGAACTGCATGTATGTTCAGAACAACAGAAACCAGTGTTGTCAGAAACAGTAACTAAGAAAGCATATACCAATGACAATGACAATCTCACTGTAAACTCTCTTTTATAAACAGATTAGACTGAAGTTTAAGACTATGCATCGAACAGGGGCAGGGCATTTATTTTCTAACGTCTTTAGGCTAAATGATGCCTACTGCCAAGTATGACATAACCGTAATGCAATTTTAATGGAAACAGGACGTCAAGGGAGTTTCATTGCTAAAGAGTGCAGCTCAGCTGAAGTTTAGAAGTCAGGGGAACATACTTGTATTACTGTACTTTACATGTTTTAAGCAGCATTAGAGGAAAATGTTATGTGCCTTTTTTCAGTTTTTTTAAGGAAGTAGGCAAAGAAAGAGTTTTTGACTCTGAAAAAGGTTTGGATCACCCTGTTAACTTGAGCAGTCAGGTTACGGGATTTCACATTGTACAAAATGGGTTAAGATTTACCTTGCATATGTATGAGGTTAATAACACTGATTAGACATGTATGGCATGTTTTCAAAAGTCTTATGCTCACCAAAGCTGCATTTATTTGATCAAAAATATAGTAAAAACAGCAATATTATAACAATTTAAAATAACTATTTTCTATTTTATGATATATTTTAAAACGTAATTTATTCCTGTGACTGCAAAGCTGAATTTTCAGCAGCCATTACTCCAGTATTCAGTGTCACATGATCCTTTGATATGTTTCATATATGACACAGTAATACTTTTATTTATCAAATGTAAATTGTGTGTATGCCTACAAAATCCAAGAAACAGTCAGACAGCTGAATTCCAGAAGGACTCCAACTCTTCTGACAACATAAGAAATAACAACAACAAAAACCACCTTGTCTAGCACCACATCACTGATTTGAGGCAGTCCCTCTGGCTTCTGCACACAGGCCGGCATAAACTGAAAGCCCAACAGGAAGTCCCGGTCATACTGTCTCTTTCCATTAGACTGCACAAGACCTGGGGTGGAAAAAGCACAGCAATAGTAGGCCAGATATATTATAAAATTTATCAACAAAAACAGTATACAATTGTAAAGTGCTTTTGGTGACAAACAACAACACAACTCTTAAAGGGATAGTTCACTTAAAAATGAAAATTCTGTCATTAAAGGGATAGTTCACCCAAAAATAAAAATTCTGTCATTAATTACTCACCCTCATGTCGTTCCAACTCCGTAAGACCTTCGTTCATCTTCGGAACACAAATTAAGATATTTTTGAAGTAGGCGCGTGCACTTCTGACCCTCCCTATGACCCTCCCAAGGATCCTTACACGATCAAGGCTCAGAAACGTAGCAAGGAGAAAATTCTGTCATTAATTACTCACCCTCATGTCGTTCCAACTCCGTAAGACCTTCGTTCATCTTCGGAACACAAATTAAGATATTTTTGATGCATTCCAAGAGCTCTCTGACCCTCCCTATGACCCTCCCAAGGATCCTTACACGATCAAGGCTCAGAAACGTAGCAAGGAGATATAATCCATGGGACATCAGTGGATCAACCATAATTTTACGAAGCTACGAAAATACTTTTTGTGCACAAAGAAAACAAAAATAACGACTTTATTCAACCATTCGTCTCCTCCGTGTCACCCTGGCGCCATTTTGGAGAGTATCACATACGTAAACAACATATGCTGTTCTGTGTCAACAGCACTGTACGCGGATACGCGGTTTACGTTGTTTCCGCTTTGATCTGAACGTAAACACCGTATCCGCATACATACGTTGCATACGTTGTTTACGTATGTGATACTCTCCAAAATGGCGCCAGGGTGTCGCGGAGGAGACGAATTGTTGAATAAAGTTATTATTTTTGTTTTCTTTGCACACAAAAAGTATCCTCATAGCTTCGTCTATGCAGGGTCAGAAAGCTCTCGGATTTCATCAAAAATATCTTAATTTGTGTTCCGAAGATGAACGAAGGTCTTACGGGTTTGGAACGACATGAGGGTGAGTAATTAAAGGGATAGTTCACCCAAAAATGAAAATTCTGTGCTGTAAACCAAAGTCTAATGGCTATTTAACAAACAGGATGACTTCGATATCCAATGAATGAAAGAAATACGTATCTACACTAGGGGTGTAACGGTACACAAATATGACGGTTTGGTACATACCTCGGTTTTTACATCACGGTTCGGTATGGTTTCGGTACAGCGGGGGGGGAAACTATACATAAAATTGCTTTTTTATTATTATTAAACAATGGTTTACTGAACAAATGGCTTTTTATTTAAATAAATTAAATTACAATTAAAGTTCAAATTACAAATTTCTTAAGGATAAAAATCTACCTTAGGTTATGCTCTAAATAGTGAGCCCTTTTACAATTAACAACAGAGCCCAAACTTAAATTTAATTACTATTTATTTTTAAATATAATAATCAACACTTAAAACTTAAAAAAATGTATGGTAAACATGTATATTGCACATAATGCAGTTTTTAAATTAACTTATAAATTATAAAATTTCTAGCCTATTTGTTGTTGAAATATATTCATTTACACAGTGGCTATTATAACTTGTTTCATAACAGATTTATTTAAACATGCATTAAATAATTAAGACATTACTAACAGGTAAAGTAAAATATAATGAGTATGTAGTCCAATATTTCGCAAAATGCTCTTCTCTAGACTTAATTTCTCTAGCGAACAAACAAGCTGTGGACACTGATGACTTGCCTGAGGTAAATGAAATGCTACGTGACGTTTTGTTTACAAGCTGTTTTATTGACATCTTTCCGCGGTTGAAACACTGATTGAGCGATTGCATGAGGCATGAGATGTTCATTCATGTTTATTTCACGTTAAAACTAGTAGTAAAGAGGAAGGGATGATCGTGTTCACTTGAGCTCCGCTCTGCAGTTTGAACTGAGGCGTTTATACAGCGATCTGTCTCGCCACATCAAAGAGCGCCAAATCGGCATGTACTGTTTAAATTTCCAGAAAAAATGGTCAGAATTTGAAAGATGAGACTTTGTTTCTTTAAAAAGTAACAATATATTAAACTGGAAGTTTCTAATTAAGTTCCACTCGTGCAGTGGTTAAAGCAATGCTGTAGCCTATTTGTTCGGTACACACAAACTTTTCGGTACGAATACGTGTACCGTTACACCCCAAATCTACACTAAAATGAAAAGATCAGAACTTAATTTAGTTCCTGTGGGAAGTCTTACCTTCCTGCATGAGTGGAGTGGGTGAACACATGGACCCCCTGCTGTCCCCGAGTGTAACGCCACTGTCAGTGCTCTCTGTCTCCACCCCATTCCTGAAAGGCTCTGTTTCAGTCTCACCATTCTCCTCTGAGAGCTTCTCCTGGTGCTCAGGCACTGTAAATGGGCTGCTGTAGGTCCCTAAGGTTAGTTGTAAGACCATATCATCACCAGCAGAGCTGTCCTTTGAGGTCTCCTCCTGATGTGAAGCAAAGAAAAGCAGCATTACACAAGGGCTTGGAGGCGTTATGTGAGATGAATTACTGCATAATGGTTTGTGCAATGACAACAATGTCATTAGTCTGTTATGTTATGTGGAGGGATTTTGCAATTCTCTCTTTTCCAACATTCCAATATCCCTTTTCCACCGACAGGGTACCCGTTATTATAACTTAACAATAGAGTGAAAACCACAGAAAACTAAACTGGAAAGACAAACTGAAATATCCACTAAATTAAAAATTTGTCTTTTCAATATAGTTTCCAGTGGTGTTCACTGTTACTCATTATTATTGTTAGTTTTATTTATTTACACATTTTTTCGAATTTTTTTCAGTCTGTTCATTTAGATTTTATTTTACAGGTTTTATTGTTTTATTATTTAATATTATTAAAAACATTACATTTATCAACACATTTCACATTTTCATAAAAGGATTGTAAAAGGTTTAATTAGGTTTGTTTTTGTAGGCCTTTTTTTATGAACCCAAAAATCAAAATAAATAAATAAATAAATAAGTAATAATAATAAAATAAAAATAAAAATAATTTTTAAAATTTAGTTTAGATTTTTTGAGCCATGAAAATCCAAAACAAAACAAAAAATCTAAAATTATTTTTAATTTGAGTTTTTCCCAGGTATTGTATGTTATTTTTATTTTAAGTAATACAAATATTTTCATTTACTTTTTTTGTTAAGAATAACAGCCTATCTCACCTCATTTTCCTTCGGCAGTGTTTCCACCATCAGAACATCTTCATTTGGTTTCTTCCAAGACTTTGGTACAACAGAAACAGCTTGGGCTATGACAAAAAGGACAATAAAATTAGCAACTGCTTATCTGAACTTTTAATTTTGCCTGATTTATAACACAAATCATGTGAAGAACAAATACCTGAGGGTATGAACTTTCTAGAGTTGTTCTGAGTTTGTGACTCTGAAGCATCCTGAACCTTTATTTGGACATTGTCCGAGGACTTGTTTTGCTCTGGCACCTCAAGGACAACTGGCTGCACAAGTGGTGCCAAACCAGGTGGTGGTCCAAGGACAGTAGTGGTGCAGGAGGTGCTTGAAGAGGCCTGTACGGTTGGGATCAAGGGCACATGTACAGCTAGAGAAGGGAGGTGCTTTGTCTGGAGCTCCTCCAAGGCCACTGGAACTTCCTGACTGGACTCCTCCGTGGATGACGTACCCTGGGTTGGCAGCTGAACCTCATGGGACAATGATATCTTTAGGGCTTCCTGGACCTCAGGTTCTTCGTAGCTTGATAAAGGAGTTTGAGACTCGGCAAGGCCATTTACCACTTTGAGGGACGTTGAGGGTGAAGCAGAGAGTCTGAGAGAAGTTTCAGGAATAGAGTCCCCACCAGAATTAACCAGATGCATCTGAGCCTTGGTAGTTGAAGGAGAAATAACTTCCGGTTCTCCCGCAGCAGTTGCTTTAATGCATCCACTTGAAGGATAGGAGGGAACATCAGAGGCCAACTCTGGAGAAGAAGAGGCTAGTAATGGAAGACTTGGGGCATCTCCTTTCTCTAAAGTGGAATCTGAAGGCCTAGGCCCAGGAGATACAGGCTTTATAGGACCAGACTCCATTTTTGGCCTGTCATCTATAAAGGTCAAGAGCAAAGAGAGGGTCAAAACATTAATAAAAAGAAAGACCTTAAGAGACAAATGTTATCAATAAAAGTGGGTTGGGTTTGGAGTATTACCTAAACTAGGTTTGCCATCCACTGGCGCAGGGCTCTCTGAGAGTCTCTGAGGTGGGTTGACACATGATGTTCGTTCAGGGGTCTGACAGTTTCTTGGCTGTTTCAGGGTGAAAAAGAGAGAAAGAAAAATGCAGACACATCAGTCACCCATAGCACAGCCAGAACTTTGACTATCGGCATAAAGCCTAGCCCACAGCCTAGCTTATTCAAGCCCAGAATAAGTCTGGGAAGATATGATGATGATAAATTACTTGCATAGTACTACCATGGCAATACAATGTTTTAGGACATCTATCATGGAAATTTTTTTTTGGCATGAATCATAGTAATACCATGTTTTTTTTGAACATGGTACCACAGTAACTGCACATTTTAAATATGTACAATGGTAATACAATATTTTAGGAAAAGGGAATCTCCCGTTTTTTGGACAGGTACCATGGTAATGCCATGTTTTTCAGGCATGATAATTTCATGTTTTTCTGGACATGTACCACGGTAATACTGCATTTTTGGTAATCTCATGTATTTTGAACCAGGTAGTACCATGTTTTTTGGACAGATTCCATGGTAATGCCATGTTTTTGGATACAGTGATCTCATGTTTTTTTTTTTTTTTTTTTTGGGCAAGGTACTCTGGGAAAACCCCGTTTT